GTAGACACCAGACAACGAGTCAATGGACACTAGATATTATTACATCAGTGGGCATTCGTTGTGTCATGTTAGTTGACATCAAGCCACGTGACATTGGTGGTCGCGGTGTAATGGCATCAGTGAGCATTTTGGAAGTCAGACCATCAAAGATCGCATCAGTCGCTAGCCAGGGGAGCTCGGGCCGGAAGAGATGCGGTAAGGTGACATCAGTCAACACATCATTACCGTCTAGTTGCCTCAGCGCACGTCCAGCCTGGTGGTCCAGTGGAGGCCAGGTAAAACTGCATCAGCGCGACGGCCGACCAGGAAATCACAGCTACAAGCACGCAGCAAGATCGCATCAGCACCGTCACGAACTTCGGTGGGGACGTTGGCGGTAGGTGGACGAATTCGATCAGTGGAAACCATGCTGACGTCAAATCATGTGCGACACGTTGAAGTCATGTCTGTGGACGTTCGGGGAATCACGTCAGTGGACGCACCAGTCGCGTTACCCAGCCCAGCCAGACAAGTGCCGTCAGCAGGACCCTGAGAAGGCATATTAGCGGGAATCATCGGGAACTGGACGGGAGGGGAGCGAAGGGGAGGGCGAAGGAGTATCTTCGGTCATCGCCGACGACAACTGCAGGGAGTAGCACGACCCTTCCATGAGCTCGAGACTTCTCTCGAACAGCCCGTTAAATCACCGGGTTCAGCTACTGCGAGGCCAAACTCCGCTGAGCTAAGCATGCTCGCAAACCCGTCCCGATTCAAGCCACCTCATTCAGGGGCCGGCGATCGAGCGAGGGCGCGGGTTGGCGCAGCGGGGTGCGCCCGCGGTCACGCGCCGGTCACGCTCCGCCGGCGTCGGAGTCGAGAGCCGGGGCGCGCGCGCGCTGCCGGCTCCGCCGTCCGCCGCGACGACGTCCACCGGCGTCCAGCGCCGCCGGCGCCGGCGCTGATCGGCGATTTCACCTATTTGGGTGGCCGGACCTGCGCGGTCTTCATGGCGTTTTCACCGGCCCGGAGCGGACGGTGATGACGCCGCCGACGTCGGCCGGTCGGCGGGCGCAAGCGTTACCGGCCGCCGTGTGACGGCCGGGGTCACATGAGGGGAGAGGAGAGAAGCAGGGAGAGGGGAAGGGTAGAGCAGGCAAAGGGAAAGGAGAATCTCGGGGCGTACGGGGATAAAAAGAGAGGAAGGGAGAGTGGAGCGAAGGGAAAGATGATCTCAGGACGTGTGGGGAATAAAAAGAGAGGAAGGGATAGAGGAACGGAGGAAAGGAGTGAGAGAGGGGGGACAGGGAGGAAAGAGTGAGATTCTGAAGATAAAGGTGGGCGAGAAATAACTTCTTAGGGAAAAGGGCTCTAAACACAGCCATGGGGAAAATACCATACACAAAGCGGAAGAGCAGCATGGCAGGCGGGTTCGCTTCAGTCCACATCAACGCGTCGTCCACAATCACCGTGACAAACTGCCTCAGTAGTTTTGTAATGGCGACGACGCATAGGCAGTGAAATGGGCGTGCTGCTGGGCTGCAGTGTCTACGTTTAAGCCATTGAAACCGCGACATTTTGGATTGTTATGACACTGATTTGACAGTTTCTGACGCATCAACTATGAGAGGTCTGGCAACGCTCAAAATTTCTGATTGCGAAACGATCTCCATCATATCAAGCTCCGTTGCCACATATTATCTTGTTATGACGGCGGTGCGAAGCGAATGCGAGAGAGCTCTTACCTTTTACTGTGGCAGGATGAGCAAAGATCGTGTCGTGAACATCAAACTGTGTCAGAGCTTATTAACGCATAGTGAACAACAATGCCATTACTTTCTTGGTCAATATTAATGTAACAGCGACGAATTGTGCCATGCTAGCGTGGGGGACCAACACCGCTTTAGTTCAGTGACTTATTTGTGTGCACATACCTGTCTGTGGTTTCGCGTAATCTCACGTTCGAAGTTTGTTTTCAAAACCATGCCTGATTATTTTGAAAACGCCGGGAGTTGCCATGTCATAATGTTTAACTTTGTATCAAACGGGTGTCTTATTGCCTTTATGACCATTTTTAATTGCATATTGCAAGTATCCCTCCTGTAATCCGGTATTACTCAAAAGTTGTAACTCACGTATTTTCCTGTAATTTGTGTTGCAACATCTATTTGAAAGGGGAGAACAGTCATATCGATAATATCATATATATATATATTATATATATATATATATATATATATATCTCTCTCTCTCTCTCTGCTCCTCCCTCTCTCTCCTCTCTCTCTCCCTCTCCCTCATCCTCTCTCTCCCTCTCCCTCTACCCTCTCCCCTGCTCCCTCTCCCTCTCCCTCTCCTCTCTCCTCTCCCCGCTTCCCTCTCCCGTCTCCCTTCGCCCTCTCCCTCTCTCTCTCCCTCTCCTCTCTCCTCTCCTCCTTCCTCTTCTCCCTCTCCATATCCCTCTCCCACCCTATCCCTCTCCCTCTCTCCCTCCTCTCCCTCTCCCTCTCCCTCTCCTCTCCTCTCTCTCGCTCTCTCTCCTCTCCTCTTCTTCTCTCTCTTTCTCCTCTATCTCTCCTCTCTCTCTCTCATCTCTCTTCTCTCTCTCTCTCTCTCTCTCTCTCTCTCTCTCTCTCTCTCTCTCTCTCTCTCTCTCTCTCTCTCTCTCTGCGTGATATCTTACTCTGGAACGGAGGTCTACACGCTCCAGCAGCCAATTATGAAAACCCTGGGGAGGGTAAGGTTCTCCACCTATGCACAAATCTTGAACCAAACCAATGTAACAGGAGGAGGGTGACTGCAATAATAGCAGAACATTTTGAGATGTTGTTCATTGGTGTTTTCGGGCGCGTCGACTTCAATGGTCATTTTGCGCCCACATTTTAAAATGAGACAAAATGCCCTGATTACATCTGTTCTGATAAGGGTAACTGAGAATGAAGTAGAATTTAACTGTTCGTCACTGCATTCGTATCGACACTCGCACGTAACGACTGCAGGGCATCCGACATATGTTTGCGTGCCAGTCACGGGAAAATGAGCTTCTTCCAGCGCTGAACACAACTCTGATTGCCATGTAGCGCCCTGCGTGCGCACTGTGTTCTTCCTGAGATCGTCACACATCACGCTGGTGGGAGGCGCTGGCGTTACGCCAACTCAATGCCCGTGAGTCCGTGCGGCAGAGGTGAACTCAGGTCCCCTAAAAACAACGGTGCCGTGCGGCAGCCCCAGACTCAATTTCTGTTCGTAGCCAGCCTCGACCCTCCAGTGCTCGAGGCGATCGACCCGCCAGTGCTCCGGGCGATCGACCCTCCAGTGTTCAGAGCGATCTAGCTTCCAGTGCTCAGGGCGATCGACCCTCCAGTGTTCAGGACGATCGACCCTCCATTGCTCCGGGCGATCAACCCTCCAGTGCTCCGGGCGATCGACCCTCCAGTGTTTCAGGTGATCGACCCTCCAGTGCTCGAGGCGATCGACCCGCCAGCGCTCCGGGCGATTGACCCTCCAGTGCTCTGGGCGATCGACCCTCGCATGCTCCGGGCGATCGACCCCCCAGTGTTCAGAGTGATCTAGCTTTCAGTGCTCAGGACGATCGACTCTCCAGTGCTCAGGGCGATCGACCCTCCAGTGCTCGGGGCGATCGACCCTCCAGTGCTCGGGGCGATCGACCCTCCAGTGCTCCGGGTCGGGGTGAGCTGTCCGGACACAAACAGCTGCCTCTCATCGTCCACTCATTTGAAGTAATTATAATTGTAAGATCAGGAAGCGCTTCCTTATCAGACATAAAACGAAAACAGAGCTAGAGAGAACGACGTCTTGAAATTCACGTCAGTGTTGGGACAAAAATAGCTGGAAACAGAGATGTTTCCAAATGTTTGCAGGCCCATAAAAAGCAACAATCAATCGCATGGCATTTCGTTGCCTTCCTCCGTTTCATAGCTTTGAACACGTCGATAGTTGGCGAAGTGAGTCCCGTTGAAGCAAACACAGTATCATCGACTGTACTATAAAAACCATCAGCGAGCATCAACCAATCCGACAAACACTGGCGTTAGGCCCGAACATCTGCTGCCTACTGACGAAAACCCCCTTGATGGACCCAGCGTGGTGGCTGTAACATTCTCAGGATCCATGAACGCCGCGTCCAAAGCCGGAACCGGCCCCCGCGGCCGGGATCCGGTGTCAATGTCACCCTGTCGGCCGAACCGGTTCCCCTGCCGGGTTCAGTGGTGTTGGCGCCGCCCCTTCTGTTCCGCCTGTTCAGCATCGCCACTAATGGCCGATTAGCATGTCCGGCATGGACGGCATTCCAACTCAGAGCTTAGCCAACCTGGGATTAACGGAGTCTAACAGCGTTCCGGTCTCGAGCGGTCTTTCAGGAAGCGCATCCAGACAGGGGAATCCGGATACTCCGACAGAAAAATGTCCACCTACATAATAGTCCAGAAATACAGGTATGAATAATTTCACCGCAACCTGTCCAGACGTACCGTTGTCCTCCACTCATCGCTTTAGGCAGCAATCTGTAAATCTCATCCCAGCAATGCTGAATACATTTTTTACGTGACGAGGAATCTTTCGACCTGCTCGCCAACAATGACGTATTTGCCTGCAACAACCACTATTACCTGTCAGTGAGCCGAAAGCTCAACACAAAATATGCGGGTAAGAATTGCGCAGTACGTTTTCGTCATAGCGTTGCGCTGTCAGGCACTGTGACGCACACAAGACTTGCCGCTGGGCCACTCCATGCTCCATCTTTCCGAGTTCGAAACAGGAGAGGGACTATCCGAGCGTTAGTACCGCAACCCCCCCCCCCCCCTAAAATTCGATTGCTGTTTGGAGAGATGCCGGAGGTGACACGAACTCCCAGAAGGCTGTAAATCTCATTTGCCTTCGAACCTAACACGATCCCATCAGACAAGCGACACTTCCTTAAATTCCGACGGACTGTCAGGAAGGTCGCCAGAGGATGAACTGGTCTGCCCAGCTCACTTCCGCCCCGTCCCGCTGACCAGCACATCGGCCAGGATGTACCCTGTATTGCCACACCTCGGAATGATACACAGCGTCACCGCACGACGCCGCTAGCTGACACAATCACATCATGGGATCGGCAGCATGGCCACGAGCAGTCTCACCACTAGCTGGGACGGCGCGGCCGGCTGCAGGCGTGGAATCAACAACCCGGCGCCCTCGAGGAGGGTGTTCGCCAGCGGCTGCCCCGCTCAGGCTGGGAGGCGCAGCCCCGCCACCCGGGCCCGTTCTTGGCACCGCAGCCGCATAGAGCACAATAGGCAGCGATGGCACCGCTCTGTACGGACAAGCCACGGAATGACCGGTTACATTGAGTTGAAGCAAAGCTAAGCGGTTCAGTTCTCGAGGCGAAATCACCCAGAATACATCGATGGCGGCGGCGATTTGAAGGCACACATCGCTCCCATGTTATGACTACAAAAACACGATTTGCGTTCGCTCCAACGTCCAACCGCACGAACCAATCCACTACGGAAGCGTAGGCCACAACTGTAAGCACTCCTCAAATCAGCCGACTTCCAGCTGTCACCAGTGGGCCCCGCTACAGTTACGCACGACAAAAAACGGCGCACCTTTAATGACAACTTGGAGAGGTGCCAAACTGGCGCTGGGTTTAGGTCGGGGGGGGGGGGGGATGACGGCGTCCGCCGTGGAGCTCGGGCACTGCAGCTGCCCGCCATCCGTCACCGAGGCCAGTCTCACACCACACAATCTCACATTTAACAACTTGTCATGATTAGCGCACAGGTGACGCGTCCGCCGTCGTTCCGCGCACTGGACGACCGCAAACCAGTCGCCAGCTGTTGGCACCTGGCGTACACAGCTGCCACAATCGGCGTCACGATCCTACAATAGATGACCCGCAATCAGACATCGGCCGAAGCAAGCATCCGCCGACGGCGCCGCCCATGACAGCTCCGACACGCCGCGACTCGCTGCAGGCGCGGAGCCCCCCAGGCAGCGAGCCGGACCGGACGGACGGCTCGGCGACGCCGACCCGTTAGGCGGGGGCGGCGGCGGTTGTGGTGGCGGAGGCAGACGGCGACGTGCGCGGCTTGTACCAGACCGTCTCCTTGAACAGGAACCACAGGTTGCCCGCCCACACGAAGACGTTCAGGAAACCGAAGCACTGCCGACAGAGGAGGGAGCCGTAACGGGTGTGGGCCACGGTGGATGGGCAGCAGCGTCAAGTTCACCCACACAGCATGGCTGGACCCCCACAATGTGGGAACGCATACCAGAGCGTCCTCGGGCGGTTCACCACAGCCACCTTCGGCACTCCGGCCGTGGTGGTTGCACCGTCTACAACCGCCGCCTCAGCAATTCAACACGTTGCCTGCCGACTGCGGCCCCAACCTGTCACCGCTGTGATGTCACTTCCTCACAAGGAAGACGTCCTCACGTCCGTCCGTCGTTCAGTAGTGCCGAGTTCAGGTCACCCGTTCCCCGCCAGCGCCAAGTTCAGGCGGCCCGTCCCTCACCAGCGACGAGCTCAGACCACCCCTTTCCCGCCAGTGCCGAGCTCAGGCGGCCGTCCCTCACCAGCGACGAGCTCAAACCACCCCTTCCCCGCCAGTGCCGAGCTCAGGCGGCCCGACCCTCACCAGCGACGAGCTCAGACCACCCCTTCCCCGCCAGTGCCGAGCTCAGGCGGCCCGACCCTCACCAGCGACGAGCTCAGACCACCCCTTCCCCGCCAGTGGCGAGCTCAGGCGGCCCGACCCTCACCAGCGACGAGTTCAGGCCGCCCGTCCCTCACCAGCGACGCCGTTCGCCTAGCCATCCCTCACCAGCGAAGCATTGAGTTTGCCGAATGTACCGCGGTGGTCGTCACCGGCAACGCGGCAATCGACGTTGTGTAGCTGGTCGCAGAGCTGGTTCAGCTGCTGTCCCGGGTCGGCGCCGCTCTTCAGCGCGCCCAATCCGGACGCCCAGGCCGAGGCGGCCACCAGCCACATGGCCGCCAGCAACGCGTGTGTCACAAAATCCTGCGGACCGAACGGCGCCGTTACAGGGGGAGGAATCGGAGACCCTGGTGCAACGACAGGGAGCGGCTCAGGCGGTCGCGCGGTGTCGACTTACGGGCGGGAAGGCAAGGTGGAACTCGGGGGGCTTCGACACGCGCACCAGATCCACATCTCATGCCGAGTTCACAGGTGTCAGCACAGTCCGCGGCCTGGCCCGCGAAGAGGGCAGCACTGTGCGACTCACGACGGTAGGAATAATGCGTTGGTTGACGTAGTGGTCACTGAACAGGACGTAGCCGGCCAGCGCGAGGACCGCGTGCAGCATGCAGATGACACCGACGGCGACGAAGAACTTGGCGTGCGAGGAGACGTCGGTGGCGAAGTGGAACCGCTCGGTGCGTGGCGGGTCGGCGCACAGCTGCTGCCGCACCACTTGGCTGTCCAGACTAAAGGGCACGGCCACATACCACGGTCAGGCGAGGACAGCGGGACGCGTCAAGACAATCCCCCCACGCAGCGTATGTGATGATAACAGCGTATATCATGGGTAACACATATTTATTAGTTACTAGTATGGATTCTAAACACTCCCATAAAAATACTTGCCAGTTGGTAGCTTGGGCACCGAAACAGCCATGACCACACGATCCCCACAGAGTGCTGCTCAAATGCCGAGCAGCGCACCACCCGACAACACCCGGGGCGGTCGGGCCGTGGAAGGGCTGATGGGATGTCCGGACAAACAGTCGAATAGAAAACGCGACAGTCGCATGGAAAATGGTTGAAAGAAAATCACACGCGAAAAGTCCAACAACGAGAAGTCCAAGGGGCAGAGATACACACGAATAGCACACTTGAAAACGCTTCACCAGCGGGGGCCAACACAACACTGGAAACCAGAATAAGGGTCTAGTCTTCGTGGAAGGCCAATGAAATACCGACACAAAGTTCTAGTTTTCGCGAAAAAAGCAGAGGAAGACAGGAACCCAACCCATCTCAATCTGGTAAAGAACCAGCGAGGACCAGGACCCCGGGGTGCTGTGTTTGCAAAACCCATGGAATCTAGACACTGAAGTGGGGTTTACGCAACAACCATCCAAGGATCTAACATCTCGTTTTCAAAGTGGGGAGAAGGTAGGAGCGTGCCATGATTCTCTTGATGGGGAGGGGCAGAGACGCCGAGCTCGAATGGAAAAGCATTACGACCGATTTGTAACTTTCGTCAGGGGTGAAAAAATACGGACCTGGGGGGGGGGGGGGGGGGGAAGGCGAGCAGGAGAAATGAACACCGCAAACAAACACTTAAAACCAACCCGACACGTATCCGCCCAGCAGCAGGACTAACCAGAAAAAAGAAATAAAAGACAGAATTCGCAGCGGGCACCGCTTAAGTACCGCTTTTTACCGTGGCCGCTTATCACGCTCAGGACCGTCCCAGAAAATGGCCTGAGGGTATCGTCATGGGCATATAAAGGAGCTAGAAAGGCACCCAGAGCCGATCGGCCACGCGACGGCGTCAGGACGCGTGCCGTGTGGTTCGGGCGTAAAGTCTTTAGGTTGGCATCCTGTTTGGAGCGTGTGCGCCGGGCGAGCGCGGGTGGGCCCAAAGAAGAGGACCCAGGGGATGTCAGGCAGCAAAACCCATTGAATGCACGGGTGCATTCGAATGCAGTCGGCAATATCCCCTTGCATGGCAGGCGTCAAATCACCAAGACTCCCCGGTCCTCTAGACTACCCGCTTGTTTACTGCCATCCCAATCGATGTTTATCTATGTCGACTTTGTCTGCGCCAAACTGTTTCCATTCCGGCTTGTCCCTATCGACTTTTTCAACTCGAGGGCGCTGCATGACCTACTGCGTTCGATGCGTCCAAAAACCTGAAATCATCCTCATCATCATCATTTTCCAATTCAAGTTTGATCCTGCAGACTTTTTGGCCTATGTATTATTATCCAGTTGTTTACCACTGTATGCCTTTCTTCTATTCTACTTTTATTCCATTTCACTTTCTTGATTCAACATCCATTCCTGCTGTCACAATTGCTTTTGAATTTTTGTCCTTCAGACTTTTCCAAACTTACTCTTACCCATTTTGCCTACTTACCCACAACTTTTCCATTTGCCTTTCTCTACTGATTTGTTTTTTGGACACGAACCGGCCAGTGGCCTATCATATACCATACTCACGCGAATGGGTAGGACACATCCTTCCTGACGACGTTCTGGGAGCCACTATTACAGCCGGCCACTGTGGCATGGAAGGTGAAATACGTGCTGAACCCAACTGTGGTGGAGAAGGCCAGAATGGCCAGCACCTGAGGAGAGACAGGTGCAGGGCTCAATAGTGTTGCAAGGGACTTATGGACACTGCCAGGCAATATTTTACACACAGATGGGTGTCTTTACAGTCAAAAAGACTTGCACTCAACTATAAAAGCATGGCTTCAAACATCAATCTTTGAAAGGCCTTCTGCAAACCATTTCATGAAAAACAACAAGTCAATTGTCAATAAAATGAAACATGCAATAAGCAGAGCACATTAATGAACCCCTCAACCCTACCATTACTTGATACTTACAAACTGCAGAATCTTAATGAAGCCCCTAGGCTCCTTGAGCACAGCTACATGCACATGCAGCATTGTATTGACTCAGGTCACTCTATTTCTGTAACACAGGGCCAAGGAATGGAACAAAAATAGTTTATAAGCAGTGAGGTTTGCACAAAAGACATACTGGGGAGGAGCACACAACAAATTAAAACAGCCTGTAATCAGGCATTCCAAAGAAAAAATGTTCTAAGCAAAACTCTTTAATAACAATGACTGTCAAAACATAATAAGCAGGTATAAAATCTCACTAAATAAATGGCCTCATGTGCTGACAATATTTGGGCATGCATCACAGTTGGTTAATATAATCAGTGGCATTGGTTGCGAAAGGACAGCATTAGCTGGCAAACCAAGCTTTTATGTCTTGCCTGCACTCATTCTCATATTTAATGCATTTCAAACACAAGATAATAGCATATCCCTGGCATGTTTGCTTCATTGATTGTCACAGTATTTCATTAGACAGTACTTTGCCAAGGCAAAACATGTTTGAATGTTACATGGTCACAGAAAGGTGTTCCACATGGGAATGAAATGGAAATGTTTGACAGTTGGATATTCTAAGTTAACAATTGAATACTCTAAATGGAATGGACTGCTCTAGACTATACAACTTATTGACTTTGTCAATAGGCTAAAAAATCCATCATTGTTTGGTTGTGTCACCATGCCTTGCATAACATTGATTCAGAGCCAACTGACAGATGCTACATCTGGATAGTCATGCCTGTGCTTACAAATCCAGATAAGAAAAACTCAGCAATCATATTTTTCCTGACTTTGCTTGTGGTGTGGCTTATAGAATGGCAGGATTCAATTGACATTACTATGGTGTCATGGATGTCTGGGTAGCCTTTAAGTAGTGTGCCCAACTAAGCCTGCATCTTTTTGTGGGAGTATAGCTAAAAAACTAGACAGTTCAGGTCTTAATAATGGCAGGCCTGTGAACCGCACTGAATGATCTTCAGAATGACTGGTTCAGTTCAAGCCCCATGCATATGAGGAACACTGCCTTTGCCTTGTGCTAACTTCAGCATTAACACAACTAACATGGTTCTTAAAAAATGCATTGTTTTCTGAAAGGGTGTTGTACATTGAACGTAGGAATATACATTCTTCAAAACTCATTTCAGTGTCTTCAATGGAACATCACGTTTAATAGAAGGCAAGCTTAACTTCAACCTTAATGCACACTGTTGAATAGAGAACATAATCCACAAATCACCCATATCCTGTATGCAGCAGCAGCAGCAGCAATCATACGAACGTCGTCAGTGTGCGGTGCATCCACCAGCGAGATTTACAACGAAATCAAGGAAGATGAACAGACGGGTAGCTGGGCTTGTTGCCTTAAGCCTTCGCTGCGCCTCACTTATTACGTTTATGCATGCTACGCATCAGCTTTCTCAGTGTGCATAGATAAATAGACTGGTCACCAGTCAACCGCCAACTCCAACTCGCTCACTTACATCGAAAGCCGAAGTGAAACGAACCCGCCTCCCCAACCCCGCGCGCTCTTAGCAATTAGCAATTAGCAATTACCGGACACCTTAGCAATTACCGGACATGCACAAAGTGGAGTACGTAACAAAAGAAGAAAAACCGGTGTATTCCACTGCCTTTTCCAGTGCCTGCCGCCGTTTCTAAATTCTTAGCTTCTGTCCTAATTACAAACGTCTGGTAGAGGTAAAGTTGCTCTGTAAATTCAATGCTTTAGACATAATAAATCAACTTTCCTTTTACGAATTGCGAATATGTACAATTACACTTTGAGCTCAAGCATCTTACGTACTAAATAATCGCACGTTGGAAATGCTTGGCAGCAGACTATCGTACTTGTTCACATTCCATAGGTAGGCGTTGGTCGCAGGTGAGGTAGAAGGTATAGGTATATACCGCATTTTATATTATCCTTGTAAAATTTGCAGGGATAGTCACTGACGTTTCTAACGATCTGACTCCTGCTGCAGCTTACGATGTCGTATGACGTCTCGTACGCATTATTATCACGCCTATGTAATCTATGTAATCTATGCAATCCATGCCATATGAAAATAAAGCATGCTAATGGATTAGCATCAAGGGCTAAAAACACACTGTGTTTGGTGTATTAATTTCCAGGACAATGTCATGCAGTATATCTTCATAAGCTCACTTTGCAGGTTCAAAAATAGCAATAGGGATGTTGATCATTTTTGAAAACATGTGCCTGTAATGGCTGTTATGAGGGGTTGACTCAAATATCTGTTTGATCCAGTTTTTCAGTTGCCACCATGGATGGTTTGGAGTCTGCTGCAATTTCCATTCTGAAGCGGGCAGTGGACCTGGATGCAAAACACCGATGGACAGAGTCAATGACATGCTATCAGGAGGGACTTCAGCTTCTAATGGAAGTAATCAAGGTGAATTGACAGTGTTGCTAGGCTTCCAAGCTGAGGTGTGGTTTCCTTTTTAGCTGAGGGACTTCATCCAACTAGGGCTGAAACCCTCAACTTTGAAAATAAAATTTGCATTGTGTGGGGTAGGTTCTACCATTTGTCAATGCTCAGCCCTCCCACTGTACTCATTTTATGAATCTATGCCTGAAAGGCTCATAGTTCCTATGCTTCATATGCACCTCAAGCTTGTTAAAGGCAACCAGGTTTAGGCCATTGTCACGGGTATATCCACTGCAGATGTCCCATCCAACTGCCCCTCAGATAGGCATTGTTCCCTTTAATTTTGCCTACCAAATGCCTATTCTTCACACTTTCCTCTTCAAAATATGATTTGAAAGTCAGCTTGGTCCATCATATTCTAGTTTGGCCCTTTCATGCTCATTTTCCTGAAAGCTCAGAGGCATGGTTACACTGATGGTCAATATTTAAATGCATGGTAATATACAGAATGGGAAAAGTTCATTTTAAGGTGATGAATCTGCTCCTATCAAAGCCATTTTGATAAACCATAACATTAGATGGTTAACAAAAAAGTAATCTTTTATATCTTATGCATGATAGTACATTATTGGATTGTTGATTTATGCTGGTGGGGATTTTTTCCTTTATTGTGACCACTGCCAAACTGTGATTTGTTCAGGAAATAGTACAGCATTGAATTAGACACTCATTTCATGACACATGCAAAGGACTCATTAGCTGGTAACTAGCCATGCACAGCTTGCAGCCTTGGGAGCTTGTATGAGGGCATGCAGCATACAGCAACGAGAGCATCTATGACCACATGCAGCAAGCAACCACCATGCAAGCCAATACAGCATGTGACACCAACAGCACATACACAATCACCTAGGCATGCACATTCAACACAGCACATTCCTCTCATCTGAAACTGTCACCCTCTGTCAGTTGCAAGAGCCGAGCAAAGCGCTCGGTAGCTCACGGCATAATTGATATGGGCCCCTGCCACCGGAGAGTGCGGCCGAAAGACAGACTAACAGAGCCTGGCTGGACAGAAAAACCAAGACTTCAAAACTTCTTCACATTGTCATAAATCAAGCCCAACTGGGGCCGGTCGACGCCGTTTGCTTTGTCTCCGATGACGACACGCTTCTACCCCAGTCGTCCCTTCTGTCCAGTTAGCAGGGGATTCCATCTGAGTTTCGGCCACCCCTGTACCAACATCTCTTCTGCATCCTAAGCGGCTAATCCCAGCCTCTGCTGTTGCTTCTTGATTTTCCCTGCTCCCGATTCTTCGTTTCCAGCCTCAGCATCTTCGTCTGCGATATCCATATTTGCGTCCTTGCCCTCTCAGGAATCATGAACTTTCAGTCAATGAACCGCCATCCATCACATCCCCAACTCCCCTCCTTCTTGCCTCTTCCTCCTCTCCAGCTGCTTCATCCCTGTTGAACCCATTCCCAGTCACCTTTCTTCACGTTCTTTGGCCCTTCTTCTCCCTTCCGTTGATGATACAGCTTAAGCCGATCGTGATGGACTACCATCCGGTATTTCGGCCTCTATTTCAGCCTGGCCCGGTATTTCACGCCTTGCAAGACCCAACCCCCTGGTTTGGCCCGCACCACGACATTTGCAACTTGGGCGAGCGGCCCACCCGTCTCAACGGTTTGTACAGTCATACCACGTGATAGGCATACTGATAGCGTGATAGCGCCATATCCCCGACGTGATAGGCATACTGACGAGCGCCCTGTGCTTACCTTGCTCGTCGTGGCGGGGCCTCACCTACGATGTGGCCTTGCGCTCGACGCTGAGCTTGACGGAGAGGTTCCACCATCTCTTGCACGTATTCCGTCTTGTCACGAGTCGATTGTCCATCACCATGCACAATCTGAGCGGGCGCTCTGGCTTGCCGTCCACAGAACAGGAAGATTGGTGACTCTCTTGTGGTTTCGTTGATGCTCGTGCGATAAGCGAGCATAACGAACGATAGGTGCCTATCCCAGTCTCCCTGATCTTCACGGACACACATCGACAGCATGGCGCACAGGGTGTGGTTGAATCTTTCAGTTTGTGCGTTGCCTTGTGCATGGTGCGGAGTTGTACGAGTCTTCTTGATGTTCAGCCTTCCGCAGTTCTCCTGGATTACCGTCGCTTCCAAATTCCTCCCCTGATCCGAGTGGATCACCTCGAGACACCCGTGGCGACATATAAATTGTTCCTCAAATATCTCGGCCACGGTGACAGCTGTCTGGTCAGGAAGTGCGAACGCTTCCACCCACTTCGAAAACCCGCACATCACAACCAACACGTAGCGGTTCCCTCCTCTTGTTCTGGGAAAAGGACCCGTTATATCCATGGCAATCTACTGCCACGGACGGTCCGGCACAGACATCTCTCTTAAAAGAGCCTGAGGTAGGGAGACTCCTTTTCTTCGCGCAAGATTTGCGTGCATGGACCCATGCCTTGACATCCTGAAACAATCAGTTCCAGTAAGAGCTAGCTCTGATTTTTTCCAACGTCTTCGTCACCCCAAGATGACCCGCACAAGAATCGCCGTGACACCCCGCGAGCACATCTTCCCCTTGTGCCCTCGGCACAACCACCTGCCGGTGCTGAGCGCCGTTCCGAGCGAACACTCGATCAGCAGTCCCTGACCATCCATCTGCAATCTGTCCTGTTGAGACATGTAGTGCTTCGCCACTGGCGATGCAGACGCAGGACATGGACGCCTCCTTCTAATCAGTTCAATGACCTCCGCCTTGTATCGGGCTTATTGTTGAACCGATCTTACTTAAAAACCACCCTCGAGCGTCATTGCCCGCACCTCTATCGCGCAGTGACCTTGGCAGTTTCTACAGGGCCGCGGGACAGGGCATCTGCATGCGGAAGGCTGGATCGTGGCCGGTACTGGAGCTCAATCCAGCGCTTCCAACTCCAGAATCCACCGCGCCAGCTTGCCTCTGGGATCCTTGCTCTGTCGGAGATGAACCAAAGGATTGTGGTCAGTCCGCAGTATGAAGTGCTGCCCATGAAGATACACCCGGGGCCGACGACTAGCCCAAACTATAGCGAGGCACTAGTTCGGCTGCAAGATATGACCTCTCTGCCTTAGTCAGGCTGCCACTAGCATATACCACAACATATTCCTTGTCATTTTCCTTCTGAGTCAGTACGCTCCCAGGCCTACATCGCTGGCGTCAGTTGTCAACGTGAAAGGCTCCCGAAGATTCGGGTGGCACAACACCGGAGCAGGGATGAGTTTTTCTTTCAAAATTCAAAGGCCGCGGCGCACTCTTCTGTCCATCTGAAGCAAGAGGCACCCTCTAGAAGTCGCTGGAGAGGTCTTGCCAGGTGGGCAAACTTTGGAATAGAGCATCGGAAGTACAAGTTCGGAAGCACAAGTTCGTTCCCAGGAACTCACGCACCCCCCTAATGGACGACGTGGTTGGGAAGTGCTGCACTGCAAACACTTGCCAGGGATCAAGGGACACGCGTTTTCCACTGACCACATGCCCAAGGAACTGGACCTTCTTCCGAAACAACCTACACTTCATCGGATTCAGTGTCAGATTTACTGTCCGCAACGCTCCCAAGACAATCTCAAATCTCTCCAGACTTTCACCAAACGTTCTTCCGAAGGCGGTTATGTCGTTGAGATACACGAGACAGATGTTTCAAACGAGACCCCTGGTGCCACCATCATCAGCCGCTGGAACGATGCCGGCACCCCCTTCAAGCCCTTGGATGTCACGTTAAATTTGAACAGTCCTTTGTGCGTTGCAAAAGCAGCGTTGTGTTGATCCTCCTCCTTGAGGTCCTGCTTCCAATACCCATTCTTCAGATGCATGACATGGAACCGCTTGGCCCCGGACGGGGCGTCCAAACAGTCATCAATTCGGGGCGGTGGAAAAAGCGTCACTCGTGGTATCCGCGTTCAGTCTACGGCAGTCGATGTAACATCGAATCGTCCCATCCTTCTTCCGCACCGGAACTACTCCTGCTGCGTATGGGGACGCACTTGGCCAGATGACGTCACGTTCGAGCATGTCGTCCACCACTTCATTCATTTGCTTTCGCATGCGAGGATCCACTCGCGCCGGTTGCATAGAGCCTCGGCGATGCATCACCCGTCTGAACTGCATGCTGAACGTCGCCTGACCGTCGCAGTGTTTCATCGGTGAGAAACCGATCCAGGTACGCAGTCAGCAGCTTCGCGATTTTCTCTTTTTCCTCTTCTAATTCCAAATCAGACTTTTTACTCAGTTTCCTGACGATGCTATCACTTGCCTTCCCTTCCAGTTATTTGGGCGACGTTGCGAACAACGTGGGGTGGCGGGGCCTCATGCACCACCGCCACCTGTTAAGCATGTCCGACGGCTGTTCCTTTGTATAATTTGATGTTTCCTTCACCTGGATTCACAAACCTCAGACTCACCTGAGAATTGTCCGCAACAGTGGCGAGCACATGAGCACCTGCGACCTGGTGCTTATCTTCAAACGTCCCATCAGGAGTGTACATTACGCATGTTCCGGCTAACAGGTCCAGAGCCGCGTTCCCCTTCGTGGCGATCTCATGTCGACATGGCACGACAATATCGCATGACGGTGTCACCGTGTCGCAACGAAGAGCTGTCACAGCTCCAGCCTGCATCTCATCACTAGTGGAGGCAAGGTTTTCCGAACCTTCAATTTCCGGAGACCCAGCCAATTAAAACGGTGGCCTCCAGCCTTCTGATGACATCATTGCCCAGCAGACACCGCGTCGTCATTGATGGCGCAACAAACACAGAATGCTGTAAAAGAACGGAGGCGCCTAGACGAAGATCAGCCAACACCAATGCCTGCAACAACAAGAGTAATCGATTGTAACAGGTTGCTGGCGCACCGCGCGGGGAGCTAAATCGCAAACGCCCGGGACTGCGGAGCTGCCTAATGTACACTGAGCTCCTCTGTCCATCAACCATGTCATAGGCTGCCCCTGTACTGGCCCCCAACAAACACATCTTTTTAATTGTTGTCGGTAACAATGGTTGCACCTACAACAGCTTCCACAACGCGCGCACGACCACGCAATCCCTGGACCACATCGTCACTGGGCCTCGCACCTGGAACCGCAGAGCGCCCCTCTTCTCAGGCCCTCACTAAAAACCCATCGGAGCTCGACAGTTACGCGCAAAATGGGCATGGGCGGGCAGCAGCGGGGGCGTCCACGACCACAAGCAACCGCCATGCAAGCCCGCACAGCATGCGGCACCAACAGCAAGTGCACAATCACCAAGGCACGCACATGCAACACGTCTCAATATTATTGTACACGAGGAATTGGTGTGAGGTTGGCACGAAATGCTACCCAATGTACACACACATACACACAAACACACACACACACACACACACATATATATATATATATATATATATATATATATATATATATATATATATATATATATGTATGTATATCTCTCTCTCTCTATGCCTCACTTGCTGAGATAGCAAATCATGGGTAGATCCCTGATCAGCAAGGTTTCAATCCTTCCAGTGGCACCTGTGTTTTTCTAAACTATGAAGGCTTATAAGAAGTGTACAACCATAGCTTGATTCTAGGTGCATGTCAGAATTAAATGAGAGGTGCATCAGCCGGTCATTCCTTGGCTGTGCCCCGCGCTGCTTCCTCATATGCCATGCGTCCTTTGCCCTGTTTTTGTGTTGTCCATGCACACCATTACACACCAGTGGTGACATAACAACTAACCCATAAACCGTCAACCATGCGTGCACATTGCCAGTCATCATATTTGTCAAGTAAATGCAGTGCAAATTTCCTACCAGCATGATTACCAGCCAACACTTGGAACTCCATTTTTGATGTCTTTTTTATGTTGGCATCAATAACATACAAATTGACACCTTAATGTACCAGCCCAGCGCTCCAAGGTATTCAATGCTGGGCATTACCGATGGTGGCCGGATATGGCCCTGTGAAACTCCTCCCGAATGATGACAGTGCCAATCTTATTGCATCACAGATGCTACTAAAATCCTCACATCCCCATGTCCATCCACCGACAGCCGGTCCCAGTCGTCCGTGCCATGCGACACCCACATATCCAACCAGCGTCGCATTACAGCGCCGACCGACCTCGTCACTGGTACCGTCCGTGCCGCCGGCGAGACCGGCCTGGCCGCGTGCCGCGTGGCGACCCGCTCACGTGGCTGAACGCGCCGCAGGGGCTGCCGGAGAGTCCGCGGCGCCTGGCCTTCCGCACAAAGGCCACCGAGTACATGGACCGGGCGGAGAAGCTGAAGGCGCTGATCGAGTCTGAGAAGAAGCTGGGCAAGTACCACGAGCAGGTGCACATCGAGGACAACTCAACTGGCCACAGCTACGAAAGCGTGCTCGGCCGCTTCCTGGACGGCCGCGTCAGGAGCGTCGAGGTGGAGGACCCCTACATCCGCAGCGTGCACCAGGTCGGTGTATTTGGCAGCGCTAAGCGTTGCGAGATACCCCTGCTCGCGCTACGTTTTACGTGGATGTGTACATCAGGAATAGACGCTAGTATCTGCTACCACGGTATTGATTTAACAGTGGGAGAAAGCACATCGGTGATCAGCGAGTCAAAATTATGGAGAGAAAGTAGCTATGTGTAATCGCGAATCGAGCTTATCTGCGATGCATGGTGTTTGGGCGGTGCTTGCGATAGGTACTAAATCCGCAGGGTCCCGTGGGTGCAAGATGCGATGGCGGCATACATTTAGGTGGTCGTACATGAGCTCCGTTTCGTTTCAGTGCTACAACCTACTCCGGCTATGCGAACTGTGCGTGAAGAAGTGCCCAAATCTGCAGTTCATCCGACTGTTGACCGGCAGTGACCCGGGCGACGAGCATGCGCAGAAGGCGCGACTCACAGAGATCTGCACATCCATGGCAGACTTTGGCGTCAAGTTGATCGTCAACTACTCTGACACGCTTCACGACAGAGAGATACGGTGAGGTCTTGTTCGGGTCGGAATTGGGGCGGAGAAGTGATATGCACCAAGCACATTTGTGGGGCCCTTCCGTCGTGCAATTTCACTCATGCAGCCATTTCTCTTAAATGAATTGCGGACCAGATAAAGCGGGAACAAATATAAAAACGCCTAAAAACGCCTAAAACGCCTAAACGCCTAAAAACACAGAGCTAGATATATCAGCCAGTTTGATAGCTCCACAACAGTTGGAACGGATCAATGGCGGGCTCAGGACGAGAACTGAGGTGGCTTCTAAATGCATGGCGAACGGATTGGGTAATGCTAGAAACAGTTACGAGTCATGCCACGATAGGCGGCCAATGTGACCAAAGGACAGTCAGCACGTGCAAATGGATGACAATGCAGATTATCCTTCAGGACTGTTACTGTATTGTGCTCTGTGTATGTATCAGTGAGGAGTGTGTGTAAGGTTCCGACCTTGGGCACTTCTTGGGACTTCATGGGACGAGGCAGTCCCTCACCGATTCAGTTTGATTCGTTCTAGAGCTCCTGTGCCTCTGTGACTACGTCAGAGCTGAGACTCAAAAGGGACAAGCGTGGGGTAGTACAGCGTCCACCCCGAGTCACCTTTGACACCCAGGGGATGCACAGAGAACCCAGACCGGAGTTGTGCCGCTGCTCGGGCGGAGCCCCTGCTCTCAGGGCAGCCGACTGATGACTGCTAGGCGCGACATACTCAAGGTGGGGCGAAGCATTTGCAGCGACCCAGGGTTAAACGGGGAGTGGGGTGAGAGATTACACGTCCGTCAGTGAGGGTAGTGCAGATGCCCTGGCTGGCTGAAAGTGAAGATCCACCGATTTGTCTGTGGTGCGATAGTCAAGTGCTCTTCCCTGCATTGGCCTAAGTCTTCCTCAGGTACGTGATGGTGTAACGCGCATCCCGCGTTCAGCCCATCATGCATTGCATTATGTATGCTACAGGCTGGACAGTGGCTGGATCATCAAGATAGGCAGAGGCCTCAGCTACTTCAAACCGCCCGCAGGAAAGTTCTGTCTGGGCTTCAACGACTTTGATCTGCGGCCATGCCACGAGACCACCGTCGACATATTTCACGAGTCAGCGTCAAAGTAGCATTGCACCAGACTTCCTCTACATGCTAGGCAGGGTGTCACGTATGACGTCTTCCTGAAAACTGATGGTGCAGATTTTCCCAGCACCGTTGTGATAGAGCGTGTGACTCGTTTTTCGAGCCGTAAAAACTTACTGCTCGGAGGTGTGACGTGACGGGCCCAGTCGCGCAACAGTATGCGTACAGTTTCTAGAGGAATGTGAGTTGCAGAGCGCTCCGTGTTGTGCGGTAGCGTGGTGACTTTGCCAATGTATAATGAACCGCGAGTGACGGATTTTGTGATCACCTATGCCATGTTGATATGGGGCAAGCGGCCTGGATCGGTGCTGCTTGTCTTTGACGAAGGCGCGATTGCTATTGGATTTTGCCTGTACGTCAATTTCATGCATAGTTTTTGTACATCATGTCAACTCCATGATATGCTTTTAATACAAGTACCCCCGTAAAATACCTGATTTTGTTGTCTCGAACAGACGTCAAAGGACACGATGATGTATTGATGAAACACAGATAGCAATGCTCACGATGGATTCAAGACACCTCCAAGGCGGTGACCACGCGGCCCGCCGCGGAGCCCCCCTCCTCCAACCGCCGGCACCCAGCCTAGGCCACTCCCGCCTCTCCGGCGGACGCGAGGCGACCGGCCTTGCCTCGCCGGCCGCCTACGTGTCTACGATCATGAGCTCGTCGATGCCCCAGTCCTCGTAGCTGCCGTCGGGCAGGTAGCGGCGGATGATGATCGGGATTTTCCGCTGCTTGAGCTCCTTCATGGCGATCTGCAGCGGGTCCGTCTCGCCCTCCAGCTCCACCATGACTGGCGCGCACATGGCGATCTGCAGGGCACGCGTGCCCAGCACACGGGCGCGCTCGTACTTCGTCATAAAGGGCGTGGTCTGGCGCTCGGCGCCGGCGGCCGCCTGCCCACCCTCGCCCGACGGCAGCACCGCCACCGTCTCGCCCTCGCCCTCGATCTGTTCGTCCAGGTCGTCGGCGCCGTCGTCAGCATCGTCGAAGTCATCCCCGCCATCATCAGGCTCGAAGTCGCCCTCGTCGGCCATTGCGGTGCGTGTGACGGCAGAGAGTTACCTGGTTGACAGGAGAGGGGTGGTGTCAAGGGAGGGCTGCAGACCAGGCCGTGCTCGAAAACGAGGGACACAGCTCTCATTGGACTGGCCACATGGTGTCACTAAATGGAGCGGGCTTAGGGATTTAATGCATGCTCATCTGAGGTTTGGAATATGGTAACTGGGTCATACATGTGCCCAGCATACAATGCTCGTAACAATAAATATTTGAAGTATTACTTCACACTTCGGCCCACACAGTGCTTAACATAAAACAAATTAAGTTTTTTCACAACATGGGGTTCAGCAGAACAAAATGCATAGCTATAAGCACCAGATGAGTCAAAATGAAGCCTTGACCAAAATTTTTCCCATAATGTGGGCTACTGATCCACACTGGGGTCTTTCTCAAATGTGCAGCTCATTTCTCAACCTGGTTATCCACATAATACTAAGCTTTTTTTAACATCTAAATGCTCATGAACCCAAGCTCAGTTCCAAAACAACCTACAGATAGGCTAGTGGCAATTACTTAACAGTTTTCAATCGTAGCCATGCACAGGCAATCACCTTAACAAACAAATAATAATCACTCATTAAATGCAGCAGAGGCATAGTTCATGTATACAATATTTTCCTGGTGCATTTATAAAATCCTGGTACCCAGACAGATTTTTGAAAATATGCTTTCTCATGATATCACAATCTTGAATGTATTTTAAAGTGTTCCACATCTGTATGACATTATGTGCCAAAACAGACACATTACAGATTGTTTCATGCTGTTCACAGGTCTGCCCTTCTTTAAACCTAAACTGCCTCTAATTTCTGAGCTACATGACCATAAAAATGCACAAACTAATTCAGGGAGACTATTTCAAGATCACCCACATTTATGACACCCTAATAATGCCATTCAAATCCTGCCATGTCATTATTCATGCAACAATCCAATCCAAGAAAAATAGAACTGTCAAGTTCATCATATCTGGTGTTTGTGAGCATGATTTCCAGAAACAATGACTGTCAGTTGGCTCTAAATGCTGTGCAAGGCACAATGATACAATAAAACAATGACATATTGGGGACCATATTTACTTAACAGAAAAACTGCGCTATCCAGGGCAGTCTTGAACTGTAAAAAATAGTGTTTGGTAAGCTTACTTCATCATATATGATGCTTGCCCAAAATTAACCTGTGAAACAGTTCTTTTAAAGGAGATGCAAAGGCGTGCACTGCAAATGTGGAACCCTCTTTAGAACCTGGCATGGTCTGTCATGTTCTGTTGCGTAAAACATGAAGCGATCATCTCAGGGGTGTTGTTACCTATTCACTTATTGGAGGTGGGGCCTCCAACCTGCCAACAGAAAAAGACCAAATCCAGGGATAAACCCAATCGCTGGTGTATCATACGGGTTTGGATTAGTCATTTCTTGCTCTCCATCACAAACTTGTTTTGGAACACCACACAGCTGGGTAATCTGTAACCCCTGCAAAACCAAGCCTGCTGCTCACTATCTGACTCAATACAATAGTATTCATTACATAGTACAATACATCATTCAATCAATCATTACAATCATTCATACAATAGTATTCATTACAGGGGTAGTGCATGCTGCTATCATTCAAAAGCAGACATTGATAGAAGGAGCAAAGATCACCCTCAGGTCAGTCTCATGATCCATTAGGGTCCCATAAAAAGGTTTGCCTGCATTGCAGAAGGCGCAGGTGTCAGGCAAAATAAGCCCTCTCCTGTGGCAGCTCCCAGAGGCTGCCAGGTGGCCTGCAGCCTAGTCCTTTTCACATTTTGCCCTGTATCTTGCTGCCTAGATCAGTTAGAGTAAGTCCAACTGGAAAAGATAGATAACTGAACTTGAAATTCTTCATTAGCACAGCAAAGCAAGCCTGAAAATGCTTGTCTTCCCTAAATCTGCAATAAACAAGTGTCCAACACGCCACATACAAGCCACATACCACAAGGCCTGACCCTGAATGCCTCACCTATATATACACTGCCTTCAAGACTAAGGGGCCCATCTGCTCACATTCAGCAAAGTTGCCTTATTAGCAAGATTAAAAGGGGTGTAGGTATACATTGCTACCTGACGTTAGAAAAAATAATTGTACACCATTTGTCGTGATTAAGGTGGAACAAATCACAAATAATCTAAAAATGGGTAAATTCATGCTTCCACCTTCAAATTTTAATATTTATGATAGCGAGCTCCTGAGAGCTGTACGCACCCCACCGCCTCGACTCCCCAGCGCTGTTTCTGCGTTACTGTTGCGTAATTACAATATTTCTTATCATCAAGAAACATAAAAAATGTATGGGACACAGAGCCTAGCCTAGCCTAGCCTAGCCTAGCCTAGCCTAGCCTAGCCTAGCCTAACCTAACCTAACTAACCTAACCCCCACCCTATCCCCTTCAACCCAGTGTCCCATTGGCATCCATGTTCCATGCCACATACATGTACCGTATTAAGAAGTTTTGTTTGGCCGCCATGTTCTCATTTTGCTTTTCATTCCCACACAAAAATGTCATATTTCCCCACAGTGTTGACCAATCTACAAACAACATGGAAGACTGCTTGGATATGCAAGAAATACATTTGATTGAATTCTTGTTACCTTGGCCTCATACATTTTACAGTAATGTTGTGATCACTCAGTAATGTTGTGATCACATGTAGAAATGGTGCCGGGGTCGTGGTTGCTGTGTGTTTGCGCTCAGCTGTTCGCTATCATAATTATTTAAGGTCCAAGGTAAGAGCCTAGATGACCTGTTTTATGACTAATTACAAGATGTTCTGCCTTAAAAATGATGACTGATGTACAATACTTTCTTATCATGAGGTAGCAATGTATACCCTAACCTTAAAAGGTACAGCTGCATGCCAAAAATATGGTTTTCTTGCATCGCAATAGCCTTTAGTAACACCATACCACCAACACACAAAGCATGATAGACTATTTCACTTCATACCATTTACTTCTGAAGAGGAACAACTACTTCAGAGCACGAGTCACATGCAGCTTTTGCAGAAATTTCTTATGCCTACAAAATCTTTTCTGTTCAAATTTTTCACTCCCATCCTTGCTCAAAAGCATGTCTAACTCAGCGGTTCAAGTCAAAATCATAAGACGTGGGACGGTGAATGAGAGGCGCACATGCCTAGCCACGAAATGGGATTTATGGGTACTGCTGGTGTCCACAACGGAAATGATAGAATAAACAATTGGCGGAATACATGAATTTGAATTTAAACTGGAGATTGCTGGATGGCAAAACGGGCACCCCTATACCTTACCAAAGACGTCTTCAGAACCCGAAGAACACGCGGTGCCCAACCGTGGTCGCACTTCCGAGCATCACACGTTTCACCACATGCCGCACGATTACGCCATACGCCGCTTCTTCAAAAGACGTAAACGGCGCTTTAGTTTCAATTGCTGCGTTTTGAAGCTGCCATATATTTTTAGTATATTGGCAAAGTATAGATCCACATATCCCGGTGCGCTTGGGTTGGCCCCTCCTTCTGGTGCTGTTGTATACTTGTCCGTGCTTTTATGTTTGTTTTCTCGTGTTCACATGTTCAGTTGCGACCCTCTCCTTAAATCACTGGATTTCCATCAGCATGTGCGCAGGCCCTCAAATCGGATCATTAATCGTCGGTTCCTGGTAGCCCATCGGTCCCCTCGGGTCCTACAGAACGGGGGGGGGCGCACGTGCCCCCCCCCCCGTGCCCAGGGCTGGTAGATCATGTTGTTTGAGGGGATAGGATCGGTGACAAAAATATCTTTCACACGACACTTGGTGCCACAAATGTTTTTGAATGGGGATTTAAGTGACGGCCAAGACAAAATGTTGCAGCGCGCAATTCAGAGCAACATGAGGCCTACATGTCAGCACCTTCCGTCACACAACACCAGCAACCACGTCCGTAAGGAGCCTTTGCGCCTGCGTGAGCACCATGGTACCTAAACGCGCTCCATCTCAACCCAGCGCAAAAATATTCTGTGATTTTTGAATGAACTTTGTGAATGAATGTGAGTGACTTTGCAAGCGGCATTCGCATCGCGATTTCATAATTACGTATCTAGACTGAATATTTGGGTTTTGTTGATTTAATGGACTGGCAGTTCAGGGAGGTCGGTGAGATGACCTGATCGAGGCAGGCAAGGACAATACTGGGCCCGTGATTTGCATTGGTCAAGGCCCTGCGACAACATAAGGTTCCTGTGTCGGTCAGCGGCCCGTAATGCCGAACCGAGTGTCCTGTGTCGACAAGGGGCCTGGAGTGGTCGGCCAGGCTTTGCTGAACAGGGACGGCACGGCACGGCCGGGACCCCAAATGCCAGAGGGCCTCTTGCGTTGGTCAGAGCCCTCTGACAATGAAAACAACACTTGAGAACTTGCGATGAACATTGTCAATGAGGCAATGCAAGGCCCCTGTGTCAGTCAGGACCCAGGGCTGAACGGTGGGCCCTCCAAACCAATGCCAGCCATGGGCCCGTTAAGCCGAACTGGAGTCTTTGTGCCAATTATTGGACCACTTGCAACGATGAGGGACCTTACTGCGTCAATGAGAGTTTCTGCGTCTATCCGGGTTCAACCGCACCCCGAAAGCACCACACACTGGGACGGAATGGTCATTCACCCCTTGACCGGGAACGATAATATGTCTCTTAGTGTTCTACACAAGGCGACCCTTGCCCGGAAAAAGAGGTGTTGAGGTGTGGTCATTAGTGTTGAAAAGAGTGGGTCGAAATGAGTTAATCAAGTGAGTTAAATGAGTTAAACAAAGAAAAAGGCCACCGAGGTTTGCGTGAGAACGTTCAATCTTTTTGGAGAATCGACTAGTCAACAAATGACATCAAAGGGGCGCTTCCGGAAAAGGTAACAGCTCTTAGCGGTGTTCAATAAAGTGGACCGAAATTAGATAAAATATTAAGAGAATGTCAAGCCCTGTTTTCATGAGGGCATTCATCTTTCTCAAAATCGACTGATGAATCTGCGTCAAAGTTTTTGAGCCTGCACGCTCGCGATCCCAGAAGTAAGAGCAGCGGTGGCAGCGGTCGCAGTCTCCGTAAATCCGAGCGGCCACTGAAGTTGCACCAGGAGGCGGGCGCCGCGCGCAAGATCGGCCGTCGTGGAATGATGGTTCCAAAGTCTTTCAAAATGAGTCGGTACCGTTCCAAGATTATACGCATGCCTATCTTTTATGACACTGAGTTGTCCTCTGAACGAATTAACAGTTACAACTTGAGAAATAGATATCTTACGCTTAGTTTTCCAGTCCTACCACCAGAAACTCCTCCAGCCGTCTGCCAACGCCCAGCGTTATCCGCAGGGCCGAATTCGTGCAGACTACGGATACTGCAACGCCGAGTGTCGAAGTTTTTTTACCAAGATGTGGGAGCGTGCAAGTTCGAAACTACCCTACATTAATTTGTCCACTACTCGACTCTGACTGAAAGTGAAGCATTTCCGGGTAAACGAGGTTTGGCCATGTTAATGCTAATTTTTTACCAATTTCGACCTAAAATCTACGTTCAGGTGTTCCTCACCACCTCTGTAGAGTCCAGATCAAAACTCTAGCAAAGTTGATGAGTTTAGAACAAGAGGCTTAGAACAAGTCCAGCGAACTATCGTAAACTGAAAAAGCTGGTCATTTAATCCGTGCAGTCGTTTATCACCTGATTCATTCAGTTTATTGGCGTCAAAATTTAACTAGAGTTGGTTTCGTAGTAGGCTATGGCTTTTGTTCCAGCAACGGTAGGCACGCATTCTGAAAAAGACAAAGAAAACCGTATCCCTCATTAAGAAGTGGGCTATATCAGGCGACATTTTTTTGGTTGCGGGGGGGGGGGGGCTTTCGCCATCACCACTCCTTTTCTCATCCCTGCGCTCCTCCCTTGTCAAGGCTTCGGCTGCGCCCCTCATAACTTATCATGACGGCTTGGGAGGCCAGAATAGATTAGGACCGAAGGACAAATGGTAGGGCCTACAGAATACTACATGGGACACTAAAAATCAAACATTTCATACATAATTAGGGCAAACACACGAAGCTGTTACAGCCGGACAGGAAAATGCTAACTACCTGGGCGTGATCTCCGCCACAAGGAAGGGGGAGGGCGGACAAATGTCACACATTTTATGAATGGAATGCGTCACGCGTACGAAATGATTGCAAAATGCGTCAGCAATAACGGGCGGGCAGCGTTTCACACTAGTTGGAGTTGTTGTTCCAACAGGCAAAAGCAGTGTGGTGTTGCCGGGACACGCGCCAGCCCAGCCGCTCGAAATCACTAGGGATACAGATACACTGGCGACTGCAGAACACGACTCAACACACCGCACGCCATGCCTAACTTTGGTCTGTCACGAAAGTGTGGGCAAGTCGGCACTCTGATAGAGACAAATACAGCGCTCACCGCGTACACATGCGCTGGCGAGCGCTTGGCTGGCGTGAGGCAAGACAAATGACAACTGTGCACGGTTCCCCACAGACTTGAACCGGGGCAGTAAGGCTTGGCCTCTTCCAGAAGATGGGAGTACTGAGGGCACTCCGGGTAAAAATCTCTCTTAAATCCAACCTTGTGCAAAACTGCTGAGATTTACATTGGCCGTTCCGTAGCCAAGACATAGCTGCTATCCGTATGTCAGCATGCGACGCGAAGGTTTGGTCAGAAACATTCCTCATTCACTCGCACAATGCCGATTATTCCAAGCAATGCAGCGCCAATGAAATTAATTGTGCATTCGGATATTGTACGCCTAAGCAATAGATCCAGATTTATTTGATTATTGAGCCTCATACGTTCAAGAAAATACTCCACATTAGAGAATGCTGAGGCAAACATCATATGTAATTGTGGTATATGGCAGTCGTTTAGGGAACCCACGCGCCAGGCAAGTGGCAATTGCGCGAGAGAGTTGGCCTGGACAAGGTGGCGCGTGGCGGGGGCGCGACGTGTTCGGGCGCCTCGGACGTTATATAATTGCTTTGTTGTTATTACCGAGGTATTGGGAAAATACTCACGGTAACACCTGACTAAGTGTTTGGTCGGGCTGTGAGAGCGGACGATACTACAGTAATGAAATAAACTCACTCATAAGTGTTGGCAAAATTTCAAGTGGAAAAGACTGCTCTAGACAACAAAATATCTCTTTTTACTAAATGTGCTCCCGAATGCATCGTTGTTTGATTGCGTCACAGTACCTTACACAACATTGATTGAGAGCCAATTGACGGCCTTCATATCTGGAAGTCTAGCTCACGAACGCTAGATATAAAAGACCCGACAATTATATCATCATTGATCTTGGCCGACGCATGACCAATGGATTGACAGATTTGAATGACGTTATTATGACGTCATGGATGCCTGGGTGGCCTTGAAATAGTCTGCACGAAAAAGTCTGCACATCTTCGCCGGTGTATACCTCAGAAACTAGAGGGGTTTAGGCCTTACGATGAGCAGGGCTGTGAACCGCATCGCATGATCTTCAAGACCCCTGTTTCAGTTCAAAGCCCCCCCCCCCCAAAAAAATACAGAACACTCTCTTTATGAAGTTGCGTAATCATCAATTCGTCCTTAGTTAAGCTTTCTCTACACTGGCCGTCTACTCTTTCTGTTACAATTAAGCTGCCAGTTCTACGACTATTGCTTATACATATTTCGTCATAAATATTGCGAGCAAAGCAGACAAACAACGAAGCTCACTACGTCTGCAAAGCACGAAAAATAAGGGAAATGGCAAACAGCTCGCACGAATAAAGATGACTGAGAAAGTAGTAGGTGATGTCACAACTTTCCGTTTGTGTAGGCCTGCACACCTTGTTTTGTAGGAATCCGAAAAGTTTGAATGACAGACCTCACCGACTTGCCACTGAAGGTCTATTTTCGCCCCCATTTTAGTTTTCTTGAGTCAACAAAAACGAGGCTAGGAGACAGCGACTTGGAATTTTCAAGGCCTTCATATAAACGTTTAAAGTACTATGTGTTAACAACTTAATGTCAGTGTCATTCTGCGTCATGAAATAATGACGGCATAAACTGATCGAAAATGACGTTTTCGCTCTCCAATTATATTAAGTTGTCACGTCGTGCCATCTTATTGCAGAATGACAAAAGGGTGTGCAAACAAACACTTTTGATGCAAAAATGCATTTATAATATTACTAGCGAACCAGAAGACAACCCCTTACTGTGATACCACAATAAGGCTTGAACTTTTTCGGCATAAGATACACAGATATTCAGCATCAAGTATCAAATATCAGGCATCGAGTATCAAGTTTGAAGTGTAAAGAGTCAAGTATCTGCGTTACGTACAAAGGTTTTCGCTACATTTCGGGTTCCCTGCAAAAAGGTGACACACA